AAAGCACCAGGGCCCCAATCTGCATTTACCCTGGGTCTTGTCAAGGCACTTACCCTACCCCTCTTGTCTTGTGAGAGGCGCCTCTGTCCTCGATGGCATCTTTTTCCACCTCAGTCTTCTGCATATTAAATACCTGCAAATGTCATGGCAGGATAGAAACATGAAGGAATCGGAGAAACATTTAGGTTGGAAAAGACCCTTACGATCATCGAGTACAACCGTTCCCCCAACCCTGCCATCCCACCACTAAACCATGTCCCCAAGCCCCACGTCTACGTGCCTCTTACATACCTCCAGGAAAAGGTGACTTATATCACAGTAGTCAACAAGCTGTACTGTCCCAGGCACAGACAACCAAGGTGCTGCTGTCCGACTGTAAGTGATCCAAGCAGACCATTAACTCGAAATCGTGCATGCATCTGCATTTTCAGCTCGCTGCAATATCTGGGTATCCTCACCATAAAATTTACCAACATGAACAAAATGGATTCTGCGGAGGTTTTGGTCCTCCCTTCAAGGTCCAGCCTGTGTTATCAACAAAGCTTGAGGCTCCTTAACCCCCAGCCATTTCCCCCTCTCCCGTCACAAGCACAATTTAAAGGTGATGTCAAACTTCAATTGTTAAGAGTGACTCAGGAATGGAAAGGCATCTTCAAAGGGGAAGGTTTTTTAGCATTTCTTGAATAGTCCACATTTGCCTGGTATCTTCTGGAAGCTTGGTCCACAGTCAGACTCTGTAACCAAGAACTCCTCATGCCTCGTGACCTGCCTTTTCTAGGGGCAGCAGATGTGACAGTTCAGCAAACCCGTGTCGAACTAAAACTCTAACTTTATACTAGGATTTGAAAATTTGTTTGGATAATCTATATTAACAGTCTAACGTGGACAACGCACTTCAATTGTTAGGTCTGCTTTACAGCGCCAAACGCCAAGGCACTATGCTTGCTTATCCACTCCTCCACTGTAACACAGGCGGCTTTGCTTTGGATGTTGATCTTGGCAGGAAGCACGCCACAGGGCACGGCTGCTGCTGCAGAGCTGGGCTGATTGGCACCAGATGAGAAACCGGCCTTTAGTCCCTTTGAAGTCCCAGAGACTGAAAACGTCTATGCAGACAGTAGATACCATCACACTTCTCTTCGCTTGCCTCTCTCCTCCCTGTAGCCAACAAGTGAGGACTAAGACAAGTATTTAATGCTTTTTTCTCTTCCCCATGCCATGTACCAATACACATAATTCATGCTGGTTGCAATTTCCGTGGCATGAAAATTCAGTAAGATCAGTCATGAGCTGGTGACTGGAGCAACTGATACCTGCAAAGGCTTTCCAGGCCAAGCCAGCCATTGCTAAAATTCACCCCAGGTGGGCGATTCCCTGCTCTGTTAATATTTTCTGGAGCTTCTTAGGCCTCTCTGTTCTTGGTGCCTCAGAAAGTGAGAACCCTGGGACCCCACTCGAGTTAATTGCTAGTAAGTATAGAGCCAGCAAAGGTGATACTTGGCAAAGAGTTCAGTCACTCTGCTACACTTGCTAGTTCAAGCTTATTAAACAACTCCATGTTTGTTTAAAAAGGGCTGGGCTGTGCTATTGCCAGTCAATAATAAGGGTTCTTGTAGTTTGCCAAGGTATAAGCTGATCCTCCGCAGGCAGAATGGTCCCTCTCCTCCCCGTGGCAGAGCTGCCCGAGCACCATCTGTGCTTATCTTTGCTCTTGTCTGGTCCTTCACCAGTAACCCCTTTGGTCCCAGAAGCGACGGGAGTTTTGCAAACAGGGTGACATCTATCTCGGTAGTGATGCAACCTTGGCTTGATAGACAAGGCCACTGGGAGCACAAAAAAAGCAGCTTGCCCAAGGTAATTTGTTGGCTCAGGGCGTCGCCAAAAATAGAACTGGTTACTCCTGCCACTTCAGTTAACCTTTGGGCTGTGCCACTGGATCTTTTCTTGGTTCGCAGAGAATTAAGCGGTCAGCACAGCAGGTACTGGCTAGTGACCAAGGCAAGACTGGAAGAAGAAGGTTAGAGATCTGCTAAGTTTACAGATCTTCCTGACTTTCCAGATGCCATTTGTATCATTGGGGGTTGGACTAGATGACCTCTAGGGGTCCC